GCGTACAAATATGCTGTCTCGCGTTCCTACGGTATATTTTTTAATCCTAAAAAGTACAGAATAGAATAACGTTCTCCAGCCCATAGATGAAACACGCGACGCTATAAATATCGAGCACGGACAGCCTTTGTGTACATCGATATGAAAAACGGAAATTCAATTACGTTTCGGAAGAACCAATAATTGTCATGCGTTTCGGCTGCGCGGGACGGAGAGAAAGCACGTTGCGTTCGCTATTTTAGCACAGAGGTAACCAAAGTGGGGCATAAACTGTTCAATTTACGCTTGAGTATACCAACACACATACCCAAACCATGGTGGAAACACGGTAACAAAATGAACAGGAAATTTCTCCCGTTTCGCCGCGCGGGTCAATTTTCTCCAGCTTTCTGTCACGCGGCCAACTCTCGAACGACTTCCTCCCCAAAGGTGTACTCTCAATTTTTCTCTGATAAGCACACCAGCTTTTTTACGATGGTACGCGAATACTCTTGAATGTAACCCCAGGCTGCAAACATTCGGAGCCAAAAGGAGCTGTGTCAAATGTATTTCTCTGGAGAACATGTTAAACCTTCTTCGCTGACCTCACGGTTCTGAACGATCTATCTGAGAACCTTGTGGAATTCTGGATAATTAATAATATCTGAATAATTAATTGTGAAACAAGCATGAAAACCTCTTCGGATAATCAAATTTCTTTTATACGTAGCACTTTATGTTCTGAGTTATCCATTGTTATGCTAACGTAATTTTCTTTATTTTTTTATGAACAGATTAAGTAGTTCGTATTTTAACTGAACATCTAATCTACAGTTTCGCCTTTTCTAGCTTCTCAATTCATTTCTAAACTATCACACGAAATTATTCCCTTGGCTTCGTACGTTTCAAACAATGGTTACTAAATTATTGTTTCGCCGATTACCGTCGAATTAATTTTACCTTTGATGCGTGTTATGGTGGACCATGTTACCACCCGTGATAGAGGAATTTTTATATGAGAGAAAAATTGCCCGAAGCCGGTGTAATTCGCATATAATGACCGCGATGGCGCTCAGAATGTAGCGCGATAATGGACCACCAAAATCCCATTATCTTGTTCCCTGAGAATTCATTACTCGTTATCTCTCGTCCTCGTTGATATTTCTCTCTGTTCCACGGCCAGATGATCGAAGAAATTCGAGGAAGAGAGAACTCATAAATTCCCACCCGCGTTGTCGTAATTTATAGGGCTGCCCAAGTCGTACCACTTCCGGCGTTTTCGTCCATCGCAACATTTCTAGCAAGTTGGTGGAGAAATTTTTAATAAACTCCTGAATATATTCTAACAGTACTGTATTTGTAAGAATAACAATATTAGTGAGGTATTCGCTCAGATCTTAAACACCTTCTCTGTCTTTGATTACGATACTTGTCCCTAAAGTTGAAATTTTACACCACCGACTGCCACTTTTCGCTCAAGAATTTTGACGAGTTACAAAAATTAATGTTAGATTCCACAGTTTTCAGTTCTACGAAAACAAAATATTGCTATTAATAGTTCGGAACGTCAAACTTATCACCGTTTAACCCTTTATTTACTGAATTTCTCAAAAGTTTACAAAATCTAGGCGTCCATCTTGGTCTTATATTATCTTATAGAGTTGTCTCTAACAAGCTTCCAAAAGAAAAAAAGCTTGTGCTGCCATTCAAAAATTAAAAACTAACTTCATAGAAGGGGACTTGAATTAATACAGTACCATAAGAAAATTGACGGGACTTATAAGTCCCGCCAGTAAATAAAGGGTTAATTTCAATAGATAGAAGTTTCTGTTCGTGAATACCAAATTACTTCTTAATCAGATTAGACGGATCCTTTAATCTATCGCGCAACCTGTCCTGCTCGATAGCGCCGCGACGGAACGCTAGGAACGTCGACGCGTACCGCGGTGAGACGCGTTGTCTGACGACTCCGTTGGCGAACGATGATAGATACCGCTTTATTTTATCTTCCGAGCATAAAGCGCCACGGTGAAAGCCACTTGGCCGTTGTCGTAAGTAGATAAGTCCTTTATACTGGGAACTCTTCGAATAGCTGGAGGACTGGTCGACCTGGGTGGAAGATTAAGTGAGCAGGCGAGGAATTTCTGGAGCGGATTACGCTTCTGCGGGAGCTGCTTCATTTTTCGGTGCTCCAGAACCACTTTAACGCGAGTTGACTGCTGTTAGATCGTGGATCAAACTCTTTTTATCGAGGCTGCACCGAAAAGATAGAATGTCCAAGTCCATGGTACGATTTGTTTATAAATTGAATAAATCACGGTGAAATGGCGTTGCATAAATAACTCATATGGTATTGATTAAATCAATTATGAAGTGATATTTGCTAGTACAATTGATGAATTTAGAAGTGAAATGTATTTATGGAGTAAATGAAATAGGAGATGAAATTCTGTTATTGATTAAATAACTTCGGTGGTCGTGGTTGTAACGTGATGTGATATTTGTTAATGGAATCAATGTTTTATGTAGAATTTTATAATCTTTAAGACGTATTTCAATAATTTTGTTTCAATTTTTCCAAATTTCGAATGTATAGTAGAAAGAGTTTCTTTGAAGACAAAATTATAAAATCTTCGCGAACTTTAAATGAGCATACAAAGTTTTGTCTTCGTTAATTGCCAATTAGAAAGTTTCGCCATGAATCATAGGATGAAGACTATTGGAGAAGAATTTTGGAAGAACTTAATTTTTCATTCTCTTCTGAAGCTTTTAAATGATTTGTTAAACTTTTACTGCATGTACATACACATTGCATACGAGTATATATAAAGCACATATACATCCCATTTATTTTATTAACATAGGTTTATCGAAGTGTAATACAATTTTCACACGATGCCCTAAAACTTTTGCACAACGAAAACATGAATCAATAAAATTGCAATTGTAAACCAATTGTACAGTTCTTCGAAGATTTCCTAGTCACGGAATTTCCACAGGATTCGATTCCGCAGACAGCCCTAATCGCGCTGTATCTAACACGTGTCTCCGCCTTCCGAAACACTTGGGCAATAATACTCTAGCTGGAAACTGTTGTTCCCAACGGAACATTTGAATCGTCTCGTGTAATGTATTAACTTGCCGGTGTAAGGACCGGTTTGTCTGAGGTTTGAAAGGCATCACGGAGTTGGCTAAGTTGGGACCCCAATAACAGAGCAACCGTAACAGAGCTTGCAATTGAACCAAGATAACACGAGGATCGCAAACACTAGTTCGTCATTCCGCGTGCGCATTAAAACCATAGCAGTCTTCGAAGACTATAAGGAACAGCTTTATGATCTTCGTCCGGGTTAAGTTTAGCGTTAACTCTTGCGGCACGTGTATCAGTCATGCTGTTAAATATTACTTGGTTGAAATTTGTTGGATAGTCAGAGGAATATTCTTCAATTTTTTTATTAGAGCCAGAAGGTTTTGTACTTTCGACGGGTTAGGTCTCTTTTAAGAATATATTATCCTCGTCAAGTAAAAATACTGACAAATAGAAGTTAGCTATGCTGCTAATGTAAATTGCAAAAAATATAGATGAGAAATGTAGACAGTTTCAGTACTTAATAATTAAGACCGTAGGTACGTGTAGAATTAATTTTATTAAGTGAAGAAAAATATATGAAGAAATTGTAACAGAACCGTACGCATTTGTTAATTTTTAACATAAATTCACTATCAAGTATTAGGCATATACAGTCTGTCCCATAAGTATTCGTAACCTTCTATGTTCATTGAAGAAGTTTGTCTAAATTAAATGATAGATGTTTATTCGTATACATATTTATAATGAAACATTCATTTGTAAACATCAAACCTATCATTTAATTTAGACTAATTTTTCCAATAGACATAGAAGGTATGAATACTTATGGGACTGACTGTATATTAGATTTCTTTCCTTTTGCATTTTCATTTCTAAGTACTTGTATTTTATTTTAATGATACAAGGATACAAAGAAAATACCAAGGAATCAATAGTAAAACAACAAATAAACATTTAATCATTTATTAAAAATTGCAAGCAATACAACGTCTCTATTACAATCTTACTATATAAGTCAGAGAAAAATTTCGTTTAAACCGATTTCGTGCGGCAGTTCCAGCAAAACGTATCGTTACCGGTAATAATTGAGATTGTCCAAGTCGATACGACAACTTCGAGCAGCTATAAAGGAAGTATACGTCGTCGAACGACAACCGCGGTCATGTGTTCAGCTTAGCGAGGTGTTAATGCCGCATTAATGTCGTAACCCAGTCGTTCTACACGCGTACGATCTTAATGGGCGGCTCGCCCTGCCTTCTCTAGCCGATTTCTCCGTGTAATGGTTTATCGAACGAACGGCCAGCGAAATTGTGCCGGCAGATAGCTAAGCAGATTCGCGAGGTCCCTTAACGAGAATCGAATGGAGCTACCAGTCGAGTAGTCAGCGTTTTAAACGAGACCCGTTGCGATATTACGATACTTAACCCTTTTAATGCGACTGGGACCTGTGGACCTTCCTACTTCTATCGAGTAATTGATAATAATGAACAAATCTAATATTTTAGGAAGCTTAGACATACCTTGAAGAAGGTTCAACGGAATGCGAAATATTTATAAGCCCTCTCTTGACTGAATTTAAATTTAAATTTCCGTATTCCTATTCGCGCCCTTCGGAAGAATTTTCTATTTTCTATGAAAACGTGCAGAAGGCTTGGGAAATACATTAAAATAACATCACCACCGTCGGTAGATCGTGCAAAACTTCATTTCCATTGGAAATACATCCCTCCAGAATTCCTCTCTACATTTTTATTTTTAAATATCTGCTTTACTTAATATTCCCATTCTTGATTAACTATTCTGTAACGCGCTTCTATTGTCAACAAAAACACAAACACTCGCGAAACGAGCCGCTGTATTTTCAAATTTAATTTTGCCGCGAGAGCTGCGTTGCATAGCAAACGTGACCCTATCGTTGTTTCTGTTGCAGCATGTCAACAGGTCAAATACGGCGTGCAAGCGGTATTTGGCCCGTCGGATCCAATACTTGGACAACACATACACAGCATCTGTGACGCACTGGACATTCCACACCTGGAAGCCAGGCTGGACCTGGACCCGGAGGCGAAAGAGTTCAGCATCAACCTTTATCCCGCACAAAGTTTGCTCAACGCCGCTTATCAGGACATCATGGAGTTTCTCAACTGGACCAAGGTCGCCATCATCTACGAGGATGACTACGGTGAGTCGTTCTTCGAATCACTTCTTGTTATTCAAGTTTGGTTACAATAGTAGACCACTTCTAGAATTGATTATTCGGAATAAATAAGTGAACAGCGTGTAGTTTCGGCGACTGTCAAGTACTTCGAAACTACATATGTCCTTTAATTTCATAAAAGGACTGCGGATTTTATGCATTTATTATGCAAGCGTATATGGCAAGTATATGCTAATCTCTCTCTGGTAAGGATATTGCCATGTGTACGTTTCGTTTCAGAGTTTTTTTTTTTTTATATATTATCGTTTGGAAATAGCCATTAGAATTCAATTACATAATACAACATCATCACGAGATTGATAAGTGTCATACATGAATATTAACTTGAATTTTTATTAAAATAAAATAATTCATCCCTCCATTGGCTAAATGTATGACGAAAAGGTACACTATATGCGTTTATGCAAAATGAAATATTAATATCACATTAATTAATACACTATATTGTATATACAATATACATATTCGTTCTACATTTTCCATATTAATGTGTGCCGTAAATCCATGAAATCTGCAGTCTATCCATACATGAAATAAGGTCATAATTTACGACGAATTAAAAATATCTGGTAATTTTCACCGGCGTGTCTTAGTTGAAATTAAAAGCAATGGGGAGCTAATTACCACGAAAATGTGTTCCATGAATGTCTTATTCGAGTTGTAAGTACTTATGTAACTATTGTAATAAATGTAGGGACCCCTGTAGGAAGTTGCTTCTCGCGTCTGACTATAGGCGCCCCATACTACTTACCCCGCTCGTTCTACTGCAGACGCGAGGACGAACTTCCAACGCGAAAATTACAAAATAATCTTGATAAGGGTGCCTTTGAAAACTTTGCAGGAAGTACTTTTACATGCTCGCTCGACTAATATTTACAGTCTGAGTACTTGCGTTTACGGGTTCAGTGACACAAAAGTAATTTTTCCGCAACTTTCATTCTGAAATGAAACTCTTGTTTACCGTGGAGAAGTCACTGATCCTAAATCACTGGTTATAAGAAGACAAAGGTAAATATTTACTTCATTCAGTGAGGAAATATTAAGGATACTGATTCTCTGCTTGATGCAAGATAATTATTGTTTCATGATATGAATTATTTCCAGAACATTCTTAGTAACGCATTCGCGACCGCTGACGTGAAGTCACATCACTTCAAATTCCATTCTTGGTTAGAAGAAAGAATGATGAAAATCTTTTTGTTTTATGCAGTAAATATTTACGCTATTGACATTTCAAAACATATTTTATAATTTTTATCTTCGCCCTAACGATACAAATTTACGTTGTCCAACTGCCAGTTGGCTCGAGACTATCGAAGATCAGATAATTTGACATTTGTCGTGGTATTTAATTCGGTAACCTTTAATTCACAAATCCCATCCAGATTTATTTTCGTTATCATCCATTTATGGTTAACGTGGCGACCAATGAGTTGAAGACATTTCGATCGACTCTCTTAGAATCTATATTATTATAAATATTTTTCTTTTTCAACTTAGATATAATAAACGTTAATTAATCTTTCATCTGTAATAATCTCTCCGCATTTCAGTGAATGCTTTCGTATACTTAATTCTAAAAAGAATCGTCATCGTGTCCTTGACGTATCAAAACGGAGCCAAACGCGAGCGTTAATCAGAATTCTGTGTGACGAGAGGCCGTAAAGCGAGGGCACTTTGGCGTCTGATATCGCCCTCGTGCAGCTAACCTAATTCCTGTCGGTCCCTTCCATTATTCATCGCCAAAGATCGAGACCAAAGAATGACGGTGTTCGGAACGAAGAACCGTGGACGCAGCCGGCAGGAATCTTCGCCAGGCTTAAACCGCCATTTTGCGAATTAATTAGGCGGAATTTCCCCCTGACACGGGGACCGTTTTCTTCGTCGTGGCCGAAGAGACGACGTTTCTCGTTACGAATGAATTTCATTATCTCGGTTTTTGCTCCAGACGCTTGTAATTAATCGACGTTATTCCATTATTGCGACCCGTAATTGTTGCTAATAGAACTCTGGTAATTGGGAGGACCGTTCTTCCCGGACCTGTTAGGCAAATTGATAATCGAACAGGGTAAACTGTACGCTGGATATCGGCACAATTAACGCTTCCCCTTCGTTTTTCAACGATCGTCCACGTTGGATGGAAACTTTCCCCTAATTCGAGTGGAATACCTTCGGAGACCGTTTCGATGGAACGATTTCAATTAATATTCGGAACGTTTCACTCGAGCACGGTGCTTTTTATACCGAATTATAACGAACCAGTGCTTTAAGAACGACAGCGGGACGAAAGTTTCGAGGACGAGCCTGTTTCACGGTTCGTGTCCTGTTCAACGATTTTCTGAATGTACATTCTTTACTGCATCAGCGAGGAAAAAAAGTGGAGAAATCTTTCGGTACACAGAATTCATCGAATAATAGGGATTTGATTTTCAAAAATGTAAAAGTGAGGAATGGATTATTGAAGAGAATTAAATTTGTTATCGAATAAAAGAGGCTTTATTGTACTGAAATTATTTTGCAAATAATTAAGCGAAAGAGGAGAGAAAAAAAAAGAATTTATACAAGAAACAGAAGGGAGTTAATCTACAGAAGGAAAGGAAAATCAGTGAGAAGAAAACGTAAAGGACGTATTTATGCAAGAAAAATTAAGAATTACAGTACAATGACTGTACGACAAATCTAAGACTTGACTCCTCTGTGCTCTCTACCATCTGGAAAACACGTATTTTACATCATGCAGTGCGACAGTCATATCCTGCATAATTCAGAGACAGAATTTTTCACTTTTTTGTTTGCTATTTAATACACCCAATTAACAAATACAGTGGTTCTGGAATTTTGTTTGAAAAGATTTCCTCGCGTCGCGCACTCCGTGGACGTTGACGTACGTTCGCAATTGGCTGATCGAGCAGCTTCAACCTGGATTACAGCAGGTGCAGGAGAAATCATCTGCCGTAAGCTCGCGTTCTACGTGGGTCTGTCGGAATATTCTTGTGACAGATTGTCGGTGCACGTGCGTCGCTGGTGCATTTCGTGTGCAATGAACGTGACTCTTCGCCCGACGGGCTCGTACACAGGGCTCCGGGTTGTCATTGAAGGGGAAATGGCGTATTCGTCGTCAGACAACCGCAGCGTTACCAATTCAAAATTATATATGCGTTGGAAGCGCGTCTCGTAAACTGGTAAACTTCGAGTCTTCCTCGGCGCGACAATAACCTCGATGCAAATTGATAATGTGGCTTACATTGCAGGATAAGTTTGATGGAAGAACTTTTTTCGAAGTAATTTACGCACAGACTTGATTATGTATGTTGCTCATTCTGAATATATTTGTTAATGGATATAAACCTCTTTTATTGGGGGCGATTATTGTATCTTGAGCACTTCAAGTTTAAGCGATTCAGTGTCACTTTTCCTATTTCCTTCTTGATATGTAAACGCAAATATGCATTAACAGTGGTAGTGTGGTAGCTTCTTCCTTTGTTAAAATATGATATTCCAACATGAACGTATAATATGCACGCATTAAATGAAATATCGTATTTAAAAATAATGAATGAATTTTTCTATATTAATATTATATACTTCGCCATATTCATGAGCAAAATTACTTCGCACCGTTAAATCCATTTTTCTGCAAAATATCTATTTTAAAACTTCTATCGAAACTTTGGATGAATGTAAAACATATTGAGGTATACAAAGAAAAATTTCTTTCTTAAAATGTACCACATATTCTTATACCTAAATATCTTATTATCACATCGTAGTCGATTAACTCGCTATTATTAACGACAAAGTCCATGTATACAATTTCCTGAACATAGTTACATTGTTCGCCATTATTCCCTACGAATTTCTACCGCGCCCAAATTATAGCGTTAGTATAATCGGACTACAGGTGATAAGAGGATTGTTTTGGAATAGGATTTCAACATGCCGTTTCGAAGCTTCTACCAATCGCAGAACGACATCCAATTTGTACTTTAATTAATACCTCGAGCGACCGAGTCGCGAGATCGACGTTCGCCGAGCCATAGGTCGACCATCGCGATTTCCAAGCTACTTACATTTCGAAAGGATTTCGGTTCCCATGGAAGACTCGATTGGATTTACCTGAAACTTAACGACACGGCTGTGATAACATTCATCGAGCTTATCTGCTTTGCCAACGAGCTTACCTGTTTGCTGAGGTGCGCGAAAGTCACAAGTACAAGCCGATTAGGGTGCCCATAGCCCGCGACTAGACCATCCCTCACCAACCTCGACAAACTGATCTCCGCCAGAGATTTACAGAAGCTCCGGAATTTCGGTGTTTCCTGTGCTATCAATTCCAGTCGAGTGCTGTGGCCACTGGAGCCAACGAATCCCCAGCCTCCACGGAAAGGAACACGTCTGGGACCGTGTTCGAACCCACCATCGACCATCCGGATAGCCTAACTTTCCTTGCGGAAAGAGGGGTCGAAAGAGCACGCGACGATTTTCTGACGAATTACCAGGAAGTTTAATCCGTTTTCTTGGTGTAGCCAATTCGAGGGCAAGTCCGCCAACGTACGCGTATACGTGGATTAGGTTTATCAAGGACTGGTCAGGGCGGGTGGAAACATGGACACGGATCCCAAGGGGTAGTTTCGTCGATGACAAATTGTTTAAACTCGTTTGAGTTGTAGTTTGAAGGGAATCGGGGGTATTATTAGGTTTAGATTGGGAAATGGAATTACTTTTGTTTTAGAGTGACACTGAGGGATGTCGAGGAGGTTAGGAGGTCTTCATACTTGAGGTTCCTGGGTTTTAGAGTCTTTTATGGTCTTTTGTTTTGAGGGAGGACGTGTCGTTTGTGGTTGTATGTGTATCGAACAATTTTTGGCAAGATGTGACCTTCTTGGATAGGTAATTTATTTATCATAGATGTCGATTTTTAAAATGACGTAAATTCCAACTGTAACTTGTTTTTATTATTTTTT